CCTTGGAAAGGGATGATACGCTTTGGGAAGCATGGAAAGCTGAACCCAAGATACATCGGACCATTCGAAATCCTTGACAGGGTTGGTCCGGTGGCTTACAAGATACAGTTACCACCAGAACTCAGCAATGTACATCCTGTCTTTCACGTGTCAAACCTGAAGAAATGCTTATCTGACGAGACTCTCGTTGTCCCGCTTGGCAAAATTGAGGTGAATGAAAATCTCCATTTCATTGAGGAACCAGTTGAATTTATGGATAGAGAAGTGAAACAAACAAAGCAAAGCCGCATTCCCATTGTAAAGGTCCGATGGAGTGCCAAGCAAGGACCTGAGTACACCTGGAACGCGAAGACCAAATGATGCAGAAGTACCCCCCATCTTTTTCCCTAGTTCTTGAAGGCTACATTAGAACGAATTTCGGAACGAAATTCCCTATAACGGGGGGATGATGTCACAACTAGCAAATTTAGGGTTGAGATGATGATTCATGTACAAAAATTTCCTCTATGTAACCTTGCAACATCAAATTAGTGAAATTCAAACTACAATGTTATTTGAATACATATGAGCGTACATTTAAAATCAAGTTGAAAGAGCCTCTTACAAGCCCAAAACTTGATCCAATAGCTAAGCCCAAACAATTTTGGGCCTTGACCCAAGAATTCTCAAACCAACACCCTATTGGACCGAAAACTCTTCTTTGGGCCATATTGGGCCGAAAACCCTTTTATTGGACCCAATTAAACCCAAAAATCACATAAATACTTCAAAACAAAAACCCTACTACCTTTGGGCTTTAATGGACCGAAAACCTCTTAATGGGCCAAGCCAAAACCCAAAAGCCCATGAATTTAGCCCACTATGGCCGAAAACCACATAGGGTTCGGTTAGGGCATGAGCAAAAAAAGGGGAAAAAAAAGAAATACCAAAAGAGTGACACCTCACTTATATCCCACAAACCTCTAGGTAAGTAACCACCATGTATCCATGTAATGGTACTAATGACCACCAAATAACAAGGAAGCAACCGACACCCCCCCCCTTAAGAGATAGATCGGCTGATCCCACACCCACACACACACAAAAATCATTTGCAACCCATTCTACTCTCCAAACTCTCTCTTTTTCTCTCAAATTTTCGTAAACCACCTTCAAGAGAAGTTATATCTTCAAGTGGTCCTAAGAAATCTTGGTAAGTTTCTTGTAAAACTCAAGTGATTTTATACACCAAAAGGTTAAAATCATCACATTTACACACCATTTTCATGTGTAGCTTCTTAGAACATCACCCATTTTCGAGGATCTCTCCAAGCTCAAGGCTAGGCTCGACATTTCTTCTTTCTTCTTCTTCCTACAACTCACGAAAAATACCAAGGTGAGCTTCATACCCCCATCTTTTCATGTTTTTCATACTTTTCGGGGGGAGAATACAAGTCAAGTATCGTTTACCCTTTGGGTAATTGCATGCATCATAGTTATGGGTTGAAATGGAACTTGTTCTTGAATAAAAAGGTTCTTAACATGTGTTAAAATCATAAAGTAAATGTTGATAACATCTTTGTGTTATAAAATTTTTGTGGTCATGATTGTACACCCAAAAATAACGAAAAATATGGGTGTTGTGCTCAAACATGTTTAACTCATGGACATATGCATTTTCAACTCTTATACTTTACACAAATATTTGAATATAATAAATCTTAAGGTTATTATATGTGTTCTTGTAAAAATCGTGACTTATTAGAGTCACAACAAAATAGAATATTTTGTGTTACAAAATTTTCAAACCAATTATGGTGTGTTAAACAAATCACAAAAGCTTGATATTTTGCTAAAAATAATTTTATTAGTAAAATAGTCGTAACTATGTTGTCACTATTTTGATGGCTCAAAACCGGATCTATTATGCTATTTTCACATGTGTTACAATTAGACATGTTCACTAAAGATTATTTATAAAAAGTATTGTGATTAATTTAACCAAAATGGTATACAAAACAGAGTTTATGACAAAAACATTTGCGTGTCATAATCTGCCTGTCATGAAGCTTTTAAAGCATGAGTAGTAAACTGTATGTCATAAAATCTGTAAAACGTGTGTCATAAAACTTCAGTCATAAATTCACACTAGGTATGTCATTTTCATTATTCAATAATAGGAGTCAAAGTTCGCGTAAATCCGTTAAGGCTCTAGTGAGACGTTCCTTCACTGTACCTACCTAGCATACACCTGAAGTCCTGCATTATAACCAGAGTCTCCTTGAGGGAGAGCAAGACCGTTGTGTCTAGATCTATACGGGATTGACAACCCCACACCTCAGCTGTTCGCTATAGTTAGACCGGCAAGTCTAGGGTGACAAAAGCATACCAATTCCGACGCCTGAAGAATGTCGTTCAGGCATAACAGTCATATCAGGCATGGTTATAAGAACTCACATAGGGATTCACAAAACTATCTTGGTTTACGGGAAGCTTACACTTCACTGATTTTATTAAGATATAAAACTGCATATCATATTTCAGGACACAGTCACTTACACTTCTGGTCTTAGGGTTTAAGACTACAGTTACTTATAAGAAAATATTGGGTTTTCTGGGAACATACGCTTTACATTTACAAACAAAAGAAAACAAAGGACATGCATGCATATATTCACAGTTTCGGAACGAGACTTACAAACCACTTTCATAGAAAATATCGGATTTTCTGAAAGTATTACGAGAACTATTCTAAACAAGTACAAAACCATTTTAAACAAAAATGCTTATGAACTCACCAACGTTTTAGTTGACGTTTTTCAAAATGACTTGTATTCTCAGGGAACCAGTAATGGGTAATCAGCTCTGCTATGAGATCAAGTGGTGCAACCTTATGAAATTTTACTTTGTGTCACTTTTTTATAACTGATGAACAAGTACAATATGTAAACTATGTAAGTATGTGTCTTCAATGTATGTCGCTTGGAATGCTAAGTTTCATTTAAATTCATCTATTATGATACTATACAATGACGTCATCCGCCCCGGACGTTTCCGCCGTCCTGGTTCGGGGGTGTGACACTGATGGAGTCTAAAGGAAAGTTGTAGATCTCATCAAGATCTTTCCATGGATATAAAAAAAAGCTTAAAACATACTCCATATGAAGAAGTTTTGGAATTTACAAAATCTGCTATTTACGTCGCGCACAGCCAGATGTGTGCTGGTTGCGCGACACATTCTTCTAAAAGGTGAAAATGTAGACCACGGAGAGGCCGACACGTGGAACAAAGTGGCCGGGGAGAAGTAGCCTTAAAATGTGCGACGTGCACCTCCTTTGCATGCTGTGCACCGCAAAAACGGTAATAAATAGGAGGTCAAGCCTCATTCCCTTTCCACACCTCCCAAGATCTTCTCTTTCATATTGTTTTCAATTTTATCCTGTTTTCCCTTAGTTTTAGTCTTCTGCGAAGCCCGGCGACCCCTAAAGTATGCTCTGTCAGTGCAATTTCCTAACTTTGTCATGAAGAACTTCTATAAGTTACGCTAGACTCTATTCTTTTCAGTGTAACTTATATTTACAGTCATAAGTCGTTATTATGAATTTATAAATAAGATTTGTCAATGGTTCCAACGTCATATTATTGATTGATCTAATTGTGTGGATGATGTCTAGGTTGGATTTAATGAGGTGTTTAATGTGGGATTTTCAAACAATATACTAGATCTGTATACTAAACGGACCCTACCTCTGATATGATCATACTTGGTTTTCCCTTACCAGCTATAGATCAGTATATATTGGGATTATTGAGGAATATAGACTATTAATTAGTCATAAGAGGTAATAAACTAAGGCTTAGAGATAATTGAACCTATGCCATATCAAAGGAAAAGTCAAGTGCTAAAGCGAAGCGCTATCCAACTTTCCAGTCATCCGCTATAACAAGTGAGTGCATAGTTACCTTCAGCTTACTCATAGATATCAAATATTTATTTTTTTTAGAACTCTATATGTGCTTATTATCCGAGTTCTTGATATCCATGTTATATGAGATAACGATTTTTCCAAAAATATTATATATGTATTTTACCGTACTCATAATATAAAGGGTGGGATGGGTAGAAAGATATAAGAGAAATGACATAATAGTTAAAGACTATAAGAAAATAGATAATCATAAGAAACCATATTAGAGATAGAATAATGGTGAGAAACCGTACCAAAGACAGAATAGTGGTGAGGGATCATACCATAGATAGGGCAATAGACCAGGCCCAACAGAGACCAGTGGTCAAGCAGATTATTGATGACGACCACAGACTATTCTATACAATCTAGTGGATCACTAGCAGACTTGCAACCTGTAGGTGTTAATGAATCACACAAATCGGGAGTATGAGTTATGGGTTGATTCGATTACTCTAGTTTCCCATGGAAATTCCTTAAGCAGTATTTTTATACTCGTTCCTTATAGAAATCTATAGGATAGAACCCTTGAGATAGATCTTATCGAATAAGAGAGAGAGAGAAAGAGAGAGAGAGAGAGAGAGAGAGTAACATGAATGGGTAATTGGGTTAACTGTTTTGTGTAAATTATATATGTATTTTAAAAGAGAAAAATTATATTATTGTGGGTTTAAAACCCTATGTACTCATCAGGTTTCCCAACCCGACCCACATAGCTTCTTTGAATCACATGTAGCGATACAAAGTTACATTCATAATGAGAGATTCAAGGAGATATAGACTGTTAGTATCTTGAGACATTGTAAGTATCCATTTATGATTATGTTTTATATGAGTTACGACATCCTGAGTTTTAAAAATATAAACAAAACACATTTCTTCGGAAATTCTATGATAATATTATTATCATATTTTGGGACAAATTCTGCATAATTAGTCTTTTTAAAATAATACTCTGATTTAATAAGCATAAACAAATCGGTCTTTTTTGGCGTAAAAATAGGGATGTCATAGAATGAATGTGGGGCCATTTATTTATATGAGGGGAGACAAATGCTAGCAGGGAAAGGGAGGTAAAATTTTGTTATGGTCCTCAATGGAGCCTTGCTAGCACCATCATTAATTGGTATATTTTTCTCCAAAAATAGTGAATTAATTGTTTATCACAATTGTATTGTTTATAATACTTGTGCAATCTTTGCTTGACAAGTTGCAATTTTTGACTCCTGAAATGGCACATGATGTGGAAGACTTGCAAGCCAGTGAATCACTTATAGTGCATGGATCCCTTGGATCTTGTATGCATACGTGGTCGTTTTGTGTTGTTTTAAGCACCTTAACATGAGAATACAACTTTTTTGTATTGATCTCCTGTTGAAAACGGTAAAAGCAGTCTTTGATTTCATTTAACTTCATAACACAATATTTAATGTATGGTTGACAGAGCCTTTTTGTATTGATATGTTTTCTTGTGCTTGAAATAGGTATTGTAGATACAAAAATGCTACTAGAACTATTCTCAATGTAACAAGAATGGCAAGAAAAGTAGGCTGAAATAGAATCCAAATAAAATTTCATTGTAAAATTTAGTGATTTAGAAAGAGCCAGAGATCTATTTTTCTTTCTCTTTGTAAATATTAGTCGTATGTTTGCATAGATACAAGTATATACGTCATTATGTGTCTAAAATTTTCTAATTTTACATTGATTATATAGGATAATGTTATGCGTTGAATTAAGTGTTATCTTGTGGGTATATATTTTTACTTCATTGTATTTTTGGCTTTTATTTTTAGTTAAAGTGATAGTTGATGAATTTGAAGTGATTGTCCCTTTTTTCTAGAAGTGGTTGTAACCATAATTAGACCTGGAAAACGTGTCGTGTCGTGTCGGGTTCATTTCATGCCAAGACATTAAACGAGATGAGAGTGCTTGACCACCCGACCCATTTAATTATCGTGTCGTGTCGTGTCAACCCGTTTATTTTCGTGACAATTTCATGTCAGGTTTCGGGTTAAGGTTTAAACCTTATAAATATAGTGTTTCATGTCGGGTTGAAACATTTTAAAGGTTGAAAAGTAAGAGTCATGGAGGAACAAAAATGAAAAAGTGAAATGCTGGATTTGGGAGGTGGAACCGAAAAAAAATTATACTCCCTCCGTCTCATATTTATTGTTCATTTTTGACTTTTGAAGTTTCTACTTTGATCTTAAATAGTTTTATTTGTGTTATAAATTACTTGATAAAATTTATAACAATGAAAAGTCATTTAAAACACAATCCATTCATATATTTTTGTGTTAAGTGTTATATATCAAAAACAATAATAATTATGGTCAAATTTGAAGAACAAAGACTTCAACAGTCAAAATTGGACAATAAATATGGGACGGAGGTAGTAGTAAGTTTAGAAAGCAAAATGGAAAGAGTTAAGAGTTAGGAAGCAAATGAGATAGGTAGTGAGGAGGAGTAAAATTAAATCACTTTGAAAGTTTGAGTTTTACTTTTAATTCTTGAATTTGGGCCACTAGAAATGTATAATATTGAAAAGATTTATAAAAATATGAAATATATATATATATATATATATATATATAATTAAACGGGTCATCTTCGAGTTGAAAGTCTTGATTCTAACCCTACCTGTTTAGTTATCGTGTTGTGTCGTGTCAACCTGTGTACATAAACGGGTCGAAATCTCTGACCCTAACCCGCTAACTTCGTGTTGGGTTCGTGTCGGGTTGTCGTGTCGTGCCAGATTTTGTCAGGTCTAACCATAATGTATTGGCATTATACTGTTCTTATATATTTTTAATGTAATATATCCTGGTTTTGTTCATAGGAACCGAGATATATTACATTAATAAGCCCTGATAGTTTAACTGGGTTATACTACTTTTTACACATATTACTCGCCTATAAGAAACCCGGTTGAAAATCGTGTTATTTTAAGTTTTTAATCGGGTTCTTTTACTCATTTTGTAGTAGTGACATATATATATATATATATATATATATAATATATATATATATATATATATATTATCTTATTATATAAACCTTATTATTTCTAAAAATAGATTTAAGACTTTCAAATATTGAAGCTGAAAATACAAATAGTTAATGCCTAAAACAAAAATTGATGAGGATAAAATTTCCTTTTTCATTTGAGGTTTCAAACTGAAGTTATTCCCCTTTTTAATACCTGGTCGATAGATGGTGAATCTCTAGGCAAATATCTCGGTTTTTGACTTGGCCCGTCTCATTTGAATTCCCAGTAACCGTTTGCCATGATAACTGGAAAATAGAACCGCGCCACCACTAAACACCATTCACCAGTCGCCGCCTGCCTACAAAAACATTATGCTCACAATTGCACCATCACAACAACTCTCTCTCTCTCTCTCTCTCTCTCTCTCTCTCTCTCTCTCTTCCTTTTTTTCTCTCTTAGAAACCCTATACGGTACATAGAACATCAAGACATGTCTACCTTTAAACTCCACCAAGCGCCGCCATCAACCACCCAACTTTGGACTTCACGCTTTACATCACCACAACCATTGCATCAGTCATCACCGCCTTTTCCTCCTTCCCCACAGAGTCGACCTCCTTCTCCTTCTACATAGTAGTCATCTAAGGTACGTAATATGTTCAATTTTTTGCAACCCAGGGATGTTTGTTCTTTCATTACATCCCTAAAACTTACAAAGTTCATAAGTTTTGTCCAACACATAAAAATTGTCAACAAAAATAGGAATGATTTTTCTTTTTGATTTTGGGTTTTTATGATTTTTTGGTTTGCTGATTTTGGGGGTTTCCGACTAGAGCTTGAATGCTTTTGGGTTTTTCGTTGCATCTTGACAAATTTTATATGTTCGATTTTTGGTTTCAGGTTATATTATTATGTTATTTTTTAGGACTCTTGGTTTCAGGTTGTATTCGCAGGTAGATAATATTTTGTTGGATTTATCGATATCAGGTTCCTTCTAATGCTTTTATCAACTATCTCAAGGTAAAACGCACCACTATATCGACTTAAGGGATTTGAGTTCAAAATTTTGGTTCCATATCTTGTTCAGTTTCCTTATGTCTCCCTCAATATTGGATTTTTTTTTAACAATTATATAGATTAACAAAAACCCTAGCATCAAGAAGCTGTCAAATGGCCACCAGTTGCATGGTAAGTTTCCTTCAAGTTTATCTTCTATAATAATCATTCTCTAATCTAACCCTTTTGGAATGTTAATAAATTATACCATCAACTTACATGCCATATCTTTCATGCTTCAGTACCTATTGTGTAATACAGAGACAAAAGGGAAACATGATTTAGGAATTTGAATTATATGTGTGATTTTTAGTCTTGGATACCTATAATCACTTTCTCATGCTAAATGTATGTGTAAAGCGTGGTGGCCTAAAGATGCCGGTTCCTAAGGGTTTCGTATTTCCTCAAATTGCTCTGATGGAGTAAATATATCCTTGGTGAGACCTTAGCCGTATCCATATGATATGGTAAATCTGTTCTCTAACCTTGGTTCATATGTGCAGGGATTAATTGAAGGTGAAAAAGGAAGTTTGAATGGAGCCTAATGGTTCAATCCTAAAATATTTTATAATCCCTCAAAAGTCAGGGTTGAAGAAATTGAATAACAAGGAAACAACTAGCATCAAACCAAAACTACCATGATTTTCAGTAACGCTTCCCCTGACACTCGCATGATATTTTATATTTGCTGCTTCTGCCAATTGTCCTTAAAATTGCAATTGTTATGGATATTTTAAACCTGCCTATTTTTTATTCTTCATATTTTAATAATAAGATTTATGTACGAACATGGTATATATGGAGCACGTGTGTATGATGGTGGAAATGATCTCTATGAACCAACATATGAGTTTTAAAGATGGTACATGTTTTTCACTTTGGGTCCTTACCCTTTATAGCTACTCAATATTCCATGTTTCTATCCCCTCTCTCTACGTGGGACACTTGCCTTCGCTTATTTAAATATTTTCTCAACCTGATATAAACCACACCATAAACCGATTTTGTTTTTTTTTTCTTTCTATGAAGCATGTGCTGGAGTTTTTAAGTTTGACTCTCCTGGACTTTGAGAGGGTCTCAAGAGCTTGATGTGAAATGTGAAAAAAACTGGTTAATGCTTGATTAGCTATGGTTGGAGTTTGTTGGAATCCTTTTCGCATATCTGAGTTCCTTTTGTCTTTCTAAACCCTAGAAAATGAGATTTCTTTTACATATTTTATGGTGTATAATCTTTAAAACTTATGATCTTTTTTGTTGTGCCTGTTACAGAAAATATGGTAACTAAATTGTCTTAAAAACTTGGAATAATGACATATTTTTCTTTGAAATTGAAGTCATTTGAGTTTTTGAGTCAAACGGAAGCATGTTTGTTTAATAAAATGGAACTCTTTTACGTATATGTGAAGGTTTGGTCTCTCCAGTCGACGCAATAAGTGGTTCTATGTTCCCCGTTTTGACCATCGATATGGAAAAATCATTAAAAACAATCGGCTGTAACTCTACATAGTTGATATGGCATGTATATATATTGACTATTTCCTTTTTCTTTTCTTCCTTTTAGAACAAGACATGGTAGCTTAGGGAGACTTCTATATGGTGTATAATATAGGTGATAATTTGAACTAAAGAAAACCATCGATGTGTGGTTGTTGCTAAGGAGAATCGAGGATCGGTTCATGCTTATCTTGCTAGGTGAGTTTCAAAATCTTTATTCTTTTTCATTTAATTTTCACTAGAAAAAGAGTTATTTTCTAAATGATGAATGTTTTCATATTTTTCCAGGTGTGGGATAGGGAAAGCAGCAGACGTCCTCCTTTTTCATAGAATATGCCACCACTAATGGAAAAATAAGATCGTATTAAGCTCATCTACACATCACACAAATGGTTAATTAAGAAAGTAGATTTTTATTTTTGAATGTGTTTCCGTGTGTGGAAAAAATAGAAATAACAATAGACTTTCTATTTTTGTCTGACACATCCAGCCACGCGAACAGAAATGGCAT